TGGTCTAGGGCAGCTGGTGGCCATGCCACCCAGAGATGCAAAGGAAGATGGGGGCAGGAAGCAGCCCCAAGGGCTCTTGGGGGCTTCACTGAGGAGCTGGGTTGGTCTGGATGCAAAGGATCAGGAAGAGGAAAGGTCAGCCCCAACCTCCAGGAAAGAGGCCGGTGGGTTGTCCAGGCCGAAGGAAGTAGAGGGCAGGTCCAGACCCAGAGTGAGGGCGGGTCCAAGGAAGTGAGGGCAGGTCCAGGCCCAGAGTGCTCCTGGGGACCCGAGAAGTAACTGACTTGGTCTGGATGCAAAGGATCAGGAAGCAGTGGTGGTTCCCCAGGTGCCTGGGGCGACAAGAGAAGGAATGGGACAAGACCCAGGCTAGGAGGAGAGACCCGCGGAGGCGACGGGAGGGTGAATGAGGCTGGGAGAGCCAAGGCACGGAGGGCACGATCGACTTACCCCAGAGAGAGGCCTGCGGGGTCGGAGAGTGGCCTGTGGGTTGGAGAGTGGCCTGTGGGTCGTGCAGGCCAGGGAAGCAGAGGGAGGTGATGGTGGGTCCAGGGCCAGAGTGCTCCTGAAGACCAGAGAAGGAACTGAGTTGGTCTAGATGCAAGGGATCAGGAAGCAGTGGTGGTTCCCCTGGTGCCTGAGGCGCCAAGACAAATAATGGGACAGGACCCAGGCTAGGAGGAGAGACAGGTGGGGGAGATGGGAGGGGTGAATGAGGCTGGGGGAGTCAAGGCACCGAGGGTGTGATCTACTTATCCCGGAAAGAGTCCTGCAGGTAGGAGAGAGGCCTGTGGGTGGTGCATGCCCAGGGAAGCAGTGGGAGGTGAGCATTATTTTTATTTTATGTGTAAGAATGTTTTGCCTGCTTGTATATTTAGTGCAACCATGTTGTGCAATGCCTGTGGAGGCCAGAAGAGGGCATCAGATCCTATGGAACTGGAGTTTTGGGCAGTTGTTAGCCACCATGTTGGGTGCTAGGAACTGAACCTGGGTCCTCTGCAAGAGTAGTCCTAGTGCTCTTAACTGCTGAGCCATCTCTCCAGCCCCTGAGCTAAGCTTACTTTTGTTCCACAGTCCTGTCTGGGTTGTTATGGTAGACTACTCATTTTTTCTTAGTCTCTTCCAATTTGAGACAGTGCTCAGTTTTTCCCAGTCTCAATACTCTTGAAGATGCCCTGTTGATTAGTAGACGGCCTCCTAATTTGGGCGTGTCAGTGTTTTCTATGATTGGACTGAAGTTATGAAATTATTATTTTGGGGACAATAAACACAAACAATGTCACTCCATTCCTATACTTTTTTTAAAAATAGACTAAAGACTATTGCTTTCTTTGATGCTCAATACTTACTGGACACCCTTAGTGAAGAGATGGATGGATGGATGGATGGATGGATGGATGGATGGGCAAATGTATAAATCTCTTACGAAAGTTGCTAAATCTTATAAATGCACCTGTGAAATCTCCTTGCCTGTGTAGAGGAACAGCACATCAACTCTTAGTCTCCTCTTCCTTCCAGATGTTGAAATGCTTCAGGCCAGTACAGGGATCCCAGTCTCTGGAGAAATTTTTTCTCGTCCCACGAAGGACTCTATGATCCGCAAGTTTTTAGAAGGTAAGTTATAGCTACAAGCAGGGAAGCAAAAAGAAGGAAAAAGAAACAAGTGGGAGACATTGCCTGATTCTGTGTGAAAGTGTGGTACTCAAGTGTGACAGGCTGCCTCACACATGCATCTAATGACTGAAGGCTCCCTTCCTTCCCCTGCACCTGCCTTGACCATCAGCCTGTTAACATACAAGCCAGAGGTTCCCACCCTGGAGCCATTCATTCATTAGAGTAAACCAGTTGCTTCCAGCAAGACCTTATTTAAAAAAGCACATGTCTGTTTTTATTTGACCATTAACTAAGTACCTACTATGTACAAAGCATAGTTTTAGAATTTGCTGCCTAGAACCCAAAGAAAACTAAGATGTGATCCTGTAGGAGACTTGACTTTTTGGAGAAAGAAGGGAACATATACCCACTATGTCAAGTAGAGTCTGTGTGGTAGTGGTTAAGAGATGGACCCTGACCTGTGCTCTTCAGTTAGCTGGAAGGCCTCAGGCAGGGTATTCAACTCTTGCAGGCCTCATTCTCCTCAGGTGTAGAATTTGATGAATATGGTGAGAATTGTAATGAACCAGATCTCAAGTCTACTGCACTCAGGAGGCAGATTGCGGTGAGATTTAAACAAGTTGGACATTGGGCCCCATACCAGGACCAGGCATATAACAAGCAGTTGACACAGGTTTATAATTGTTGTTGCCATGTTATTATAGGAGGTTTCGAAGGTGGAAGCTATAACATTGTGTAATTACTTAACTCTGCCCATTCATTTATAATTATGGTAGGTCTGTCAAGGAAGTAACTTTAGGAATCAGCGTGCTGAGAGCGTATGATTTGGAGGTCAGGTGGTTTGGGCAGTGAAGAGGAAAGAAAAGCTCTAAACCAGTGTAGGCAAACCACAGCCTGACCAGCTGCCTGTTCTTGTCAATAAAGTTTTATTGGAACTCACCATACCCATTCATTAGTGTTGTATATGGCTGCTTGCATGCTACCAGTTCAGGCTTGAGTGGTTTCAAAAGACTATTGTCCTGCAGAGCCTGACACATTTACTGTCTGGATCTTTAAAAAATATGCTGACCCTGCTCTAAAACTGTATGTCTCCCTGAGAGGAGAGAGGTCTGGACAGCCAAGGGTCAGGCACTTAGTAGGTTCCTCAAACAGCACCTGGCACCAAGAGAGGTATGGATGAGAGTGAGGCTGGCCTTGCTTGTCAGCTTTGTCGTTTGACCTCAGGCTTGTCCTGCAGTCTTCAGCAATGCACCAGACCTAGATTAAGTGCTTTATATATGACCCTTATTCCATGCTCCTTGAAACCCTGTCAGGTAAGTATTTCTGCCATCATTCAGCGGGAGAGGCATCCAAGATAGAAAGAGAGCACGTTCTTAAGGGCCTAGAGGCAGTAAGCAAACTGTAGGAGCCAGGTCAGGCCCTTCCCAGCCTCTGAGCCTAACACAAAATGCTTGCTTTGACCAGTGGTTGCACTGTTACCTTCCGAAAGGAAGTGTACCTGGGTCTCCCTTCTTCCTGAAGGGACACAGTGGGCTAGGAATGAGATGACAACCTCCTGTCATCCTGATCTCATTATCTGATGCTGAATTGAAACGATCATTTTCCAGCAGTCCTTCATCAAGCCACTAGTCTGTGCCAAGCCCTGGTGCCAAGTAATGCATAAGACTTGAACCCGCCTAGCAGAGGAGGTAGGCACACACCCCAAATGAGTTTTCCTTTAGTAAGAAAAGCATAGTTCTGTACAAAGAAAGATACACTGGGAGTGTGAGAAGGCAGAAGAGTGAGGGGCCATCAAGAGAGTTTGTTTACAGAGGTAGAGTGTGGTAAGTTACCCTAATCTTGGGCTGCTCACTGAAACCTTCTCAAGACTCCAGCATGATGGAATGGGAAAACTAGCTCACTGCTTGACCTATACAGTTATTTAGTACATGGTGACAGTACTTCTCAGTGCTTGTCAGTGCGTCTCAGGCTTCTGTGTGCCTCATACTCACCTGGAGGGCTTGTGGAAGCACAGGCCCCCCACAGTGTGTGATTCAGCAGGTCTGGGTGGGGCTCAGAAGTCTGCTTCCCAAGTGCCAGGTGACTCTGCTGCAGCAGCTTCCTGCGAGGGTCTTGGATATGTAGCAGAAATTTCTTTCTTTTCTTTTCTTTTTTTTTTTTTTTTTTTTTTTTTTAGACAGGGTTTTACAGAGGATTAGGTGCCCCCATTTACTGCTGCACTGGAAAGTCCACAGTCAAATATAGATTCAGTGACTTCCTGACAGTCACAGAAAATGGTGAGAGGTGCCTCCTGGCATTCTTGGCTTATATGTCCTTACCAGGCTGGCCTTGAACTCACAGAGATCCGCCTACCTCTGCCTCCCGAGTGCTGGGATTAAAGGCGTGCGCCACCACACCCAGCCCTTTATTTTCTTTTCAATCTTTACTAATGGAACCCTCTTCAATCCCTGTTATCCCACCCATTGCTGTGCTCTTGTTGTTTATTATTATAAAAGGTACAAGTGATAAAATTCAAGCAGTAGGAAAGGCTTGTTTGTTTATTTTGAGACAAGGTCTTGCTGTGTAGACCTGTCTGGCCTGGTATTTCCTATGCAGCCCAGACTAGCCTCAAACTCATGGCAGTTCTCCTGCCTCTGTCTCCCAATTGCAGAGATTACAGGCATGAACCACTACTCCTGGTTCAAAAAGTTAAGCACTGAGAAAAGTCTCTTACCTGAGACTCTCCAGAATTGTTCTGGATATATTAATATCATGTACACATGACTTTTCTGTTTATTCACAGATAGTATCAGCACAAACTTTAGCTTTTCAGTAGCTGCCTAGTCTTGCGTGTATGTGGCATCCACTGTTAGCTGTTCCCCCATTGAGACAGTTTAGGTTGTCTTTGCCTTTGTTTTTTTATAAAGCATGGTGCAGCGAATGCCTTTGGTATGTATAATCTCTTTTCACATATTGGAGACTATGTATACTATAAAGTACAAGAACAGACTTGCTGGGTCTAAGGAAGCATGCCTTTGTGATTTTGACATCATCATGTTGCTCTGCTCTAATGGTCATCCAAGCTTACATTCCTACCAGAAGTTAGGAAAGGGTCTTGTATACATACATGGAAGCTTATTCTGCACCACAGATAACTGGGCTGGCTCTCAGTCTCTCTAGTCAGCCTCTCATTTTTACCTCATTTGATTCTGGAAGCATCTCTTGGTATTCCATAGCTCTGAAGAATTTGTTTGGAAATCACAGGTCTGATGCCTGTGAGGGAGAGGAGGGAACTGTGATGGTGAGGCTGGGACAGGTGGCCTGGGGTTCAGCTGGGAGAACGTGTCCTCCTCTACATTCAAATGGCCTTCAACCAGTCAGCACTAAAGGGTTATAGAGAGTTCTATGTAGGGATTAACTTTCTGTCCCCAGTAAAATGCAGGGCCTAGCACAGAGCAATATCTGAAGCATAGCAACAACTACTTAATTCATTAGTTATTTTATTTTATTTTCTAAATATTTTATTAGTTTTATTTTATGTGTATGAGTGTATTGCCTACATGTATGTTAGTGCATCCATACCTACAATACCCATAGAGGTCAGAAGAGGTGTCAGAACCCCTGGAACTGGAGTTATGGATAGTTGTTAGCTGTTAGTTGGGTGCTGGAAACTGAACCCGGGTTCTCAGTGCTCTTAATTGCTGAGCCACCTCTCCAGTCCTAATTATTTTAAACAACACAATCTAATCATGATGGGAGTGACTGAGAAGTGAGCTTGAAATCTGTTCTGTCAGAGACCTAGCAGCACAAAACTGAGTTCCTCTGAATTGACTGTAAACAGTGGGCAGCACATTTCCTATAATTTGTCTTTTTTGCTTCCCTAGCATATTTTGGTTTCAGGGAACTTGGAAGTTTGGTTAGGACTGAAGAGTCTTCCTGCAAACTTCTATTTGGCCAGCAGGAGCCAAGGGAGTGATTGGGGTGATAATTTGTACCTGGTGATGGAATGGGGGACCCATGATACATAGTCCTTCAATAAAAAGGCCTATCTAGGTTTCTAACACCCCACCTGTAGTAGACAGATGTTAAGGAGGTAGATCCTACTGGCACTTCTTCTCCACATACCTCTCGACTTCTGAAGTCATGAAGCTTCCCCGAATGGAGGAGACTTCCCCTTGCCCTGCTAGTGAAGCAGCTATGAGCTTTTTCTGAGGGTTCTCAAAGTCTGCCCAGCCCAGATTAGAAAGAAGTTGGGAGGGAGGGCAGGCAGACTGTTGAGAGGCTCAGACCTGTTGTATTGATCTCTGCTTGGCCCAATTTTTACCCAGAGTTCAGTCATCCCTTCTTTCTTAGAATGTAACTGAGCATAGAAGGTATGAGGCTCTGTGTTTGGCTCTAGGACAACATGGATGGCCAGGGGCAGGGTCTGCCATCTGCAGCTGACAGACTAGAGAGGAAAAGAAGCAGAAAGAAACCCAGTACACTAATGCATATGTAAGTGCACATCACAGCAGTGTTGTGGAACAAAGGCATGAAACATAGCGAAGACAAATAACAGATCCAGTTTACACTGGATGGTCATTAAGGCCTCCCTGACAGGGTCACAGTGTGACTGGGACTTGGAGGAGCTGGCTTGACCAAGAGGGTCACAGTGTCGCTTAACCTGGCACCATGTGGAAGGAAGAAGGTTCTGAGCAGAGGAGTAGCCTTCCCAAAGCAAGATGAACTGAGGCAAAGCCAGCATGCTTAGGACAGTGAAAGATAAATGTAATGAGAGTGACTGTTGCTCCATAAGGGTGGCTGACAGCTCCCTCTGGACACCTCACTTTGTTACCATTGATTCCTCCCCAGAGTTTCCTCCTGCCCTCTTACAACATGCTCAAAGATAAGCAGGTACATGGCAACTTACCTTGAAGGCAGAGCCTGGGAACCAGAGTTTTCTAATGAATTGGGACTAACCTGGCCAATCCTCTGGACCCATGACACCAAGAAGCCCAGAGTAAGCTCCTCACAGCTCAGAAAAGATGTAGTAAAAACAAGTTCCCAATAAACCACTGGGCTGTGACCTCCATAGGAAGAAGACTCAAGTGCCATTCATTCCTGTCTCTCAAACAGGCACTGAAGAGAATATGTTGACTGAATGGCATAGGGAAAAGTAACAGGTCATTGCAGAAAACACTTGAGGGCTATGGGATGCTGGTAGACAGGAAGGGGGATGTGCACTTCTGTCCTCAGTGGTTTTGTTTCGTGGGGAGTGGCCTGAGGTTACGAAAGAAGTAGCGGACTACAGAGATAAGACGATAGCTCCAGAGCCAGCTTCCCTGGGTGCCAAAGGCTGGCTCTCAAGGGCTTTAAACAAGTTATTTAAATTCTCAAAACTTCAGTTTTTTTCATATACAAACAGAATACTGATAATAGCTACTTCACAGATTTATTGAAAATTAGAAGCAATAATCATTTGGGAAATGCTCCCAGAACAGTGCTTGGCACAGAGGAGGTCCTCAGGAATCACATCCTGAAGCCATTTGAGGAGGACCTGGGGGTGCTGGAGCCATTGGTGGTGAGGATCTAGAGCATCCTCATACTGCTGCCTATACATCAGGAAGTAGCTCCCAGAATGCTCATGCTTTTGGAATGAGGGTGCTTTCTTTCCCTTAGTTCTTCTGGGATGAGTAGCAGAATCCAAGTAGTAATTATAATTGAGGCAATAGAACTGGTGACTCCCATCCTGGTCTGTGCCAGTAGGTGGCCTTGGTGCTCTTTCTGTTGCTTTGCATGGGTTCTGAGCAGAAGATGCAGGGGGTGTTTTGAGGAAAGCCTTTTGCCAGAGGCCAGTACTATAGTAACTCATTCTTCTCTTGTGACCTGCAGGCATGCAATTTCCTTGACCACTGTGTTCTCTGTGTTTTAGGCAGCAGTGTGGACACAACCAATTTGGGGAGAGAGCAGAACCATCTTGATAGAGAAGATGTATATCGCACGGTGGATGATGAAGAGGCCTTTCCCTTGGACCTGGCCAGCAGACCTCCTGTCCCTGTGCCCAGGCCAGAGGCCACTACTCCTGGTGCTCATCACCTGCCTGACAATGAGCCATACATTTCTAAAGGCAAGTGTGACAGGGAATAGTGCCCACCAGGAACTTCCTGGGTCCTTGGCTTTCTGAACTATAGCTCTGAGATTGGTCTCCAGCTAGCCCCAGGAGACAGAGTCATAGGTCAGAACAGATTCTGGAGCTAGACCAGGGCAATAATCAGATTTGGTACTGGCCTTCCTGGAAGCATTCATGTATTTTTGTAAAGACAGAGGTAAACAAGAACCTAGTACATTTTTATCTCCTAGAATCCTTCTTGTTATCACTGTTAATTTTAATGGCTGGCCATTTGTTGAGATCTACCAAGAACATTCTTTACATTTAATCCTTACAATAACCTTCCATTTTATAGATGGGAAATGGAAGCTCACAAAGGTCAGTCATCATGCAGCAGGGCTAGGGCTTAAACCCAGGGACTCTGACTCCATAACTCTGACTTTAATCCCTATCCTGGGCTGTCTGCCTACCTACATTAATGAAAGTTAGTGAGAATTGGACTTGACTTCTTCATAACTGTCCCTGGGATATGAGGTAGAGACCGATGGCATTGCTCCTTGTACTTCAGCACTTGTTTATATTAATATGGTTTCAAGTGCAGCATGAGAGGAATTACTAGCTCTGTGCTCCTGACCTGTGTTCCATTTTGAATAGTTTGAGTGTGTTGTGGAAGATGTGATGAAGGGCTATCCTAAGTAGGGAAGGTAGTGTTCAGAGAGCACTGGCTACTCTGCAATCTACGCTGAGTTGCAGCAGCACAGTTATGGGAAGCTCTGTGTCACCAAGGTTTGCTGTTTCCTTGAGCAGCATCTCCTTTGGCATGTATAGTGGATAGTGCAGGTGCCTTCCCATGTCCCTGTGGATCTAAATGTCTGTTCCCACTGGCTAGACCCACCTTCCTGAGAGCTTTCTCTGGTATTTGGTGCCTCCACTGCCCCCTTTTAGGACAGACTGAAAGCACTGGGGAATCCACTGCCCTCAAGCAATGAAGGATGGGAGCTGGTGGATGAATATCCCAGCCTTTTCAGCCCTCCTGTGGGACAGCTCTGAACTGCACATCCTGCATTTGCCCCACAGTGGTAACTTGCATGTAACCCATTTCTTGTTTCATCAGCTTCCTGCCTTGTCTCCACCACCTCCTGTATTAATTACTTTTATCACTGCTGTGACAAAATATCTGATAAAAGCAACTTACATAAGAAAATGTTTACTGTGGCTCACGGTTTGACGGTACAGTCCATCATGGTGGGGAAGACATGATGGCAAGAGTGGCTCTCACTGTGGCGGCAGAAGTGTGAGATAGCTGGTCATTCTGTGTCCAAACTCAGAAAACAGAGAGAGAAGAAAGTTCATACTCAGCTTTATTTTCCCTTTTTAGTCGGTCCAGGACCCCAGTCCATTGGATAGAATTGCTCACATTCAGGGTTGGTCTTCCCATCTCAGTTAAACCTTTCTAGAAACACCCCCATGGGCACATCTAGAGATGTATTTCTATGGTGATTCTAAATCCAGAATGACTAATGAAGTGTAACCATCACACCTCTCAAATAGAGTTCTAGCAATCAAATTCTTGTATTGGAGTCTGCTTCTGGAGGCTGGAGAGATGGCTCAGTGCTTAAGAGCACTGGCTACTCTTGTAGAGGATCCAGATTTAGTTCCCGGCATCCACGTGGTGGCTAACAGTTGTTCTTAACTTCAGTTCCAGGGGATCCAATGCCCTCTTCGGTCCTCTGCAGCCATTGCATGACATAGGTACATTTACATACCTGCATGCAAAGCACTCATACACATAAAATAAAAATAATTAAATAAAAAATTAGAGTCTGCTTTTGAGGGAACCCATGACAAGGAGCCCACAAACATACAATGGTATTTCCTAAATGGTAGAGAAAGTGGCAGCTCATCACAGGGAAGTGGTTGAGACAGGGCAGTCAAACAGGTGATTCCTAATAGCCTGACGGTCTTCTAGGGAATTGGAGAAAACAGAGCAAAAGACAAAGATGCAAGGCGATGAGGGGGCAGTGACTTGGAACACTTAGGTCCATCTCACTGCATAGTATGGGACAGTGAGTAAATCGCATCACTCATTTTAGCTTTAGTTTAATCTACAGATGGCTATCATGATAATAAATGTCTACATTAATACATGTCATGGTAATGACAGTACTCCACTACAACCTTATTATGAGGGTCATATAAAATACTATGTGGAGTACTGTAGACACTGTATGGACATAACTTGAGTTAGCTAACATGCCAAGGTATGTTGTCCAGCTGGCATCAATCGCAAAGTTTAAAAGTGAGTAATGCTTATAAAAGCTAATGGTGGAGACTTACATGTGCCAGGCTGTGTTTTAAGCACCTTCTACGTACTTTCTATGCACTAACTCTTTTAACTCCAGACAACCCAATGTAGGCTTTGTTTATCATCTTCATTTAGATAAGAAACAGGCAGGCTGGGCCTCTTGTTCAACCTCATATGAACTGAGGGAGTCTTCTTCAGTGCCCAGGGAGTCGTGATGACAAAACGCCCCTCCGCCTACACCACGTTTCACTTCCCAGTTCCTTCTGTTGTCCTTTTTCATGTCAGTTCCTCATGAGTGGACTCAACTTGGTCCCTTTGGAGGGACACATTTTACTCGTTCTGCCATATAGAGTTCTATTTTACAATGCTAGTTGACCTACTAAGTAGTAGGTGCTTCTTTTTTATCTTCGAAATATTTTCTTTATTATTTTTATTTTATGTGTATGAGTGTATTGTCTGCATGTATGTGAGTGCACCCATGTCGTGCAGTGCTGCGGAGGTCAGAAGGGGGCTTCGGATTCCCCTGGAACTGGAGTTAAAGATAGTTGGTAGCTGCCATGTGGGTGCTGGGAATCGAACCCGGGTCCTCTGCAAGAGCAGTCAGTGCTTTTAACCATTGAGCCATCTCTCCAGCCCTGGTGCTTCTTTTGTAATGTTTTATTTTTATTTTATGTGTATGTCTGTATTGCCTGTATGTACGTAAATGCACCCGTGTTGTGCGATGCCCGTGGAGGTCAAAAGAAGGTGTTGGATCTCCTGGAACTGGAGTTATGAATGGTTGTTAGCCGTCATGTGGGTGCTGGGATTTGAACCCAGGTCCTCTTCAAGAGCAGTCAGTGCTCTTAACCGCTGAGCCATCTCTTCCAGCCCTGTATGTGCTTCTTTTTATTCTCCAGCTTCAAGGTCTTCAGAGCTACTTCTGTTTGGTGATCCTGTCACACATCCATGCTCCCATAACCTCCCATCCCCACTTTCTTCCTTGCATATGTGAGGTGCATGAGCATGTGCATGTGTGTGCGCATGTGTTTGGAGGTCAGAGGTTGAAATCAGGCATTGTTCCCCAATCACTCTTCACTCTCCACCCTATTATTTTATTTTTTAAATTTAATTTAATTTTTAAACATTTTATTTATTTTAATTATATGTGTATGAGTGCTTTCCCTGCGTGTATGTAAATGCCCCATGTGCTTGCTTGGTAGAAGAAGGTGTGGGATCCCCCAGAACTGGAGCTACACATGGGCATTAACCACCATGTGGATGCTGGGAACTGAACCCAGGCCCTCTGCAAGAGTAGCTGGTGCTCTTAACCGCTGGATTATCTCTCCAGCCCCCTCTACCCTAGGGTTGCTCACTGAACCTGGAGCTCACTGATTCAGCGACTGACCAGTGAGCTCTGGGAATCTACTTATCTCTACCTCCCCAGTACCGGGATCACAGATGCACGCCACCATGCCCAGTGTTTACATGGGTGCTGGAGATCTGAACTCAGGTCCTCATGCTTACATGGCAAGCACTTTACCCACTGAGCCATCTCCCCAGCCCCCATAACCCTTTTTAAAAATAATCCTGTAAATGTTGATAGTATCTCTGGCTGGCTTTGTCTTTAAGCTGGAGAGCCTGTGTCTAGCTTGTTTATTAAAAAATTTAATTTTATGTGTTTTTTTATGTGTATAAGTATTTTGCCTCTGTGCATATAAGTGCACCCAGGCATGCAAACCCATGGGGGCCAGAAGAGGGCATCTGGTTCCTGGAACTGGAGTTAAGGACAGTTGTTAGCTGCCATGTGGGTTCTGGGAACTAAACCTGGGTCCTTTAGAAGAAGAGCCAGTGCTCTTAGCTGCTGAACCATTCCTCCAGTCCCCCTAACTTGTTTTTATTTGACCCTCTCTCACACTAATGTCTCTATGTACAATGGGCATGGCTATATGTTCATGATTTTTTTTTTCCACAAGGGTTTGATAAGTTTTGTCAATGCAGTAGGATAGATCCCTTAAGAAAAAGAAGGCAGGCCGGGAGTGGTGGTGCACGCCTTTAGTCCCAGTGCTCAAGAGGCAGAGGCAGGCAGGTCTTTGTGAGTTCAAGGCCAACCTGGTCTACATAGTGAGTTCCAGGACAGCTGGGGCTACAGGGAGACTCTGCCTCAAAAAGACAAAAAAAAAAAAAAAAAAAAAAAAAAAAAAAAAAAAGAAGAAAAAGAAGGCTTGGGTTTTACTCAGAATACTCTTTCTTTCACAGTTTTTGCAGAAAGAAGTCAAGAGCGGCCTGAGAATTTCTATATTTCTTCAGAGAGTATCAGAAAAGGTAAGCCAGATCTTGTCCTTGTTTATGACTTCTAGACATGGAGGTGTTTGCATCACAAAGACTGACAAGTGTAACAATAGTACCATGGCACTGCAAATCCAGTGACCCAAGAAGAATCTTGGGGTAGAGCTGAGTGTATTCCTTATCGATTGCAAAGGGAGAGGGGAGGACACTGAGGGACCCTAGATTATGGTACACACTGACCCCACAGAGGGCACTAATATATTAACAAGTGTCTGTACAGCACAAAAGACTGAGGCTGGTGTCAATAGGTTGGTAGTGGGTGGCCCAGCCCTAAGTCTTCACCAATGACACAGCCTTCTTGAACTATCCACTTACCCTGTCGATACCAGCTCAACTGTGCTTTGAGTTAAGTTTGATTAAAAGATCCTTTTTTTTGCTTTTGGATAACAACTGGGATACTCAATTTTCCCCAAGACTTTTTAGGAAGTTTGGAAGGAACTAAGTTCTTTCCTCCCTTGATTAGTTTCCTTATGCTAAATAGAGGCATTCAGTGTTATCCCATTGAAGAGCCCAGAAAGGCAGCCACAACAGTGTCTAAGCATTCAAAGGCTTTCCTGAAGAATGGTGGTAGTGGGAGACTGGATTTGACTAGCTTCTTGTTTTTATCTCCCACTGTATCTCCCAGTATCATTGAAGACAGCCTTGAGAAAAACCTGGGAGGAAGTATGTAAGTCTATGTAACTGGCAAGTGAATAGCTAGACAGAATGATAGATACTCATCTTTAAGTCCCCCTTTTTGCCCCTTGGTCTTTTTGAGACAGGGTCTTTCTATAGCCCCAGCTGACCTGGAACTCGCTATATAGACCAAACTGGCCTCAATCTCACAGAGATCTGCCTGCCTCTGCCTCCCAAATGCTGGGATCAAACGTGTGCCCCACCATGCCTGGCATCTTAAAGCCTTTTTCAGCACTCTGCTGAAATGGTTATTCTTTGTCCTTCTTGCCTTGTCCTTGAATCATAAAGTCCAATGGGGATCAGTTGGAGAGATCTGGAACCAAGTAGCTAACCCTACATGAACTGAGACATAAAATGTCAAGTTGTCCTCATGTGTCCCAGTGGCCCCATCATCTCTGCAAGTAATTCATCCCCAAAAGATCTGGGGTTATTGCCTGGAGAGGGGCTAGCTGGCCTCCAACCTCCAAAGTAGAAAACTGTGCCTGAGTCATATGGTGTAGAGGTTGGACAGAATAGCCCAAGGATAACCTGCTGGAACTGAGTATCTAATTTATACCCATACCACCAGACCTGGGTCATTTCAGTCACCTTTGGCATTTCATGCCCATCAGTCAACAATCATTGCTCACAGACGGGGCTTGGAGAAGCATCCTGGCTGGACTCTGTATGTGTTATTTTATTCTAAGAGTGGAGTTATGTCAAAAGCACCGATTCTCAAATGGAGAAGATTTTTACCTCCCCTCCCCAGAGAACATTTAGCAATATCTGGGGACATTTTGGGTTGTTGCATCTGAAGAAAGGTACCCAATGGGTGGTTGCCAGAGATGCTGCCGAACATTCTCCAATGCGAGGACCAAGTCTCCACAACAAAGAGTCATCCAGACAAAAATGTCAGCTATCTCTAGGTGGAGAAATGCTGGGTTAGATGCTGTCACAATCAAGGTTTAGTGTGTTTAGCAAACTGCATACCTTCCTCTCATGTTGTGGCCTTGAAAATTATTGTTGTAGCTTCGAAATTACTATCTGCTTTCTCTCCCCTTATTCCATATCCTGTTTCTCCCATCTTGGTTCCACATGTATGATTCCTTCTGGATGTGGCAGACTTCTTCCCCTGGAGCCTATGCCTACCCTCGTTACCGCCACCCCTCACGTCTGCTCTCCCCAGCTGGGAGTCGTCAACTGAGTTCTGCCATTCTTTTCAGAGCCACCCGTGAGGCCATGGAGGGACAGGCCCCCATCAAGTATCTATGATCCGTTTGCTGGGATGAAAACGCCAGGCCAGCGGCAGCTCATTACCCTGCAGGAGCAGGTGAAGCTGGGCATCGTCAATGTGGATGAGGCTGTGCTGCACTTCAAAGAGTGGCAACTCAATCAGAAGAAACGATCCGAGTCCTTTCGCTTCCAGCAGGTAGCCAGTTCCCCACTGTGGAGTTATTTCATGTCCTTTCTGCCTAGGCAGTGGAGGAAGCGGCCAGAGCTACCTCATATGTGGCAGTAACTGGACAGCTGTGCCTGTCAGCATCGTTTGGGTGTCCTTGTGAGTCAGTGGGTGTGCCTGTGAGTCTCTTGTGGGACCCCACAGTTTCCTGGCTAAAAGCTTCATGAAGCTGGAGGTCAGGAGCAAAGACTCTGCTCTACACACCAATCCTGCTGCTGCACTGCCGTCTGCACTTGCCCTCCACTTCCGCTTCATGGCTTTGTTCTTTATTTATTCTTTATTCTTCTCCTAGCTCCAAATCCCTCACAGCCAACCAAAGAGAACTTGGAAAGCACCCAAGAAATATGATTTAAATGAACAAGACAAGTTACATAGTCCAAACCTCCTGAGTTGAAAGATCTCTCTGTCTCTCTTTCACACATACAAACACACACACATGTATACACACACATGCACACATGAATTGCTCTAGATATCTGTGCAAATACAAAGCCAGAGATTTATAAAGGGCCAGGCATACCATTCTAGGAGCTACCTCTGGGAGGCTTGACATTAGAGGACTAGAGAGAACTGAGGGTCACAGGAGAGTCTTGCTTTAGCTGTATGGTCTGAAACTTTTTATGAGAAAATATACAACTCCATACAGGTTTTCAATTATTTTCTCTATATATATATTAAAAGTGAGGAAATCAGGCCTATGGGGTTAAGGGACATGTCCAAGGGCACTTCTCTAGTGAGTGGTAAAGCCTGGCACTCTCTTTTTTTTCCAGATGAACAGAAGTTCATCTATTTTTATTTTCATTTTTTTATTTTT